CTAAATATGACGCACATATGTATTAAAAAGAGTTTAGTTTGTGAAAATAGTTAAATTCAAATATGTGTATATGAACATATGTATATATGTATGCGTACATGGAATAAAGAAATTTGAGCAAAAATTAGCGAAATGTTCATAAAAATTTTAAATCTTTTTTAGGGTATGGAATTTTGTGGCATAATAAATTTTAGTACAATAAAATGCAAGTTTGAAGTAGCTAGGTTGATTTTTGGCAATTTCTTGTTCGACAATTTTTTTGTATGGAGAAACTGAGCAACGCTTTCAACAAAAAGAATTGCCAAAATTCAACTGTATTTTTCGGACACTTCGTAAGTGTCAACAGTAATTTGCGAGCTCTGAAGAAATCATAAGCAAACACAAAATACCAATTGACTGTCGTTGCTGCCCGCTTGCAGAAGCTAGAAATTTCTCATTTTTCGACTGCGACTGCCGACAACTTGCAAAAGCAAAGATATTGCTTATACATCGACTTGCGCCGCTGACCAAAATCAGAATGAAATCAAAATGAAAATTTTCAAACCAACGACTGCCGGAAGAACTGCGCATTTTGTCGGCAATCAGTTTCTGCTTGAGCTTTGACTGCGACTGTTAAACCAACGACTGCCAGCAGCTCGGCGCATTTTGTCGGCAATCAGTTTTTGCTTGAACTTCGACTGCGATTGTTAAACCAACGACTGCCAGCAGCTCTGCGCATTTTGTCGGCAATCAGGTTTTGCTTGAGCTTCGACTGCGACTGTCGTCTTGTCTTATAATTGTAAGCACAAGCAATAAGTAAATTTTGAACAGTTGAACATAAATCGAAGCAGTGAGAAGCGAAAATTTTATTACTTTTGCTACTTCGACTTAAGTTTTTTAAACACTGATTTCAATAATAAGAATTGTAGCAGGCTGCGCTGTCAGTTAAAAATATTCACTTTTTCCTCTTATGATAAAAGCTGAGAAATATATTTATCGCGTAAATTGTAGATGCGGTAAGTACATTCATATGTATATTGGTATTATGGTATTTTTTGTAAGATTCGCATCACAATCTTATTTGCAGCCCATATTGTTTCTGGCTATCCTGTCGGAAAAATATTCGGATATTTCTTTTATGAGAACTGCTAAGCAATACATTTATTACGAGTATTATTGGTATGATAAGCATATTGGTGTTTGGTATTATGGTATTTTTGGTGATTTTCAATTCAACATTTCATTTACAGAAAAATTGTTCCATTAGATATACTGACATATTGCGTTTATAATTTCAAAAAGTTATTTTGTTGATCGTAATGACCATTTTTACTACTATAGGATCAGTGTTGCCATTTTAGCCGTTTTCCGACTAGATTTAGCCGGTTGCAATAGCAAACAGCCGGAGAAATTTCGGCTTAGCCGGAAGCCGATTTGTTAGCCGTTTTGTAAAAAAAAATTAGCCGTTTTTAGCCGATTTTGCTATTTCTTTGTTTTCTTAAAATTCAAATATATATGTTTCCATTTTTGACTAAGCGACCCAAAATCTCTTAGAAATGGCTACTAGCGTTATCATGGAGGCAGGGTTGTATAAAATTGGACCGATTTGATTATTTTTATTTTAAACAAATTTTTTTTTTCTAAAGAAGGCCGTAACGGGGACTTTCTTCATAAAATATTTGCAATGACTAAAATTTAAGCGTGAAGTTTTATTCGCAAACTTAGAAAATAACAAATTGTTTCACTGTATGCTTAACAGGCGTTTGTGTTTGGATATACTACCAAGAATAAATGTTACAGATATTGTCTTTCCAGATAGCGTATATTTAATTCTGCCTTAATTACAAAACATCATTGTTGCCCACGCTTAAAGTTTTAAGGCAAGGGAAAAATGGATATTTTCAAGCACTATGTACACATATGGCCTTATTTAAACTAACTTTTTTTCCTGAGAACTTATTTAAATTCCAAAAACCGAAGGCCAACTTGAATTAAAAGAACGAGCACTGAAATGCATAAAAATTAAAGTAAAAGAGCACAAATTTCTATGTAAAGCAAAACTCTCTAGGAAGACAATAGGTTTGTTCGTCGAAAATCCAGCGAAAATTATCACTCAAAATATCAGTTAGTAAGAAAAAATGCTCCCAAATTCTCTCTCAAATAGGGAAACTTGCAAATTTCTGCACGAACGCAAATTTGCAGGAACTTGCAAGTTTCCCTGCCAGCTAGTGCCCACGGTTGCATTTCAAACATAAGAGATTTGTATATAATTTTAAAATCCTTTCAGAGTGGGAAAAAACAGGATCTACATGTATATTTCTTGCTAGTCCGACTTTCTTCAACATACGTTTCAATTTCTTTGCCGTACTAACTGTCGCGTTTCCTATATCGACTCTGGTTGAGATTGCGTTACGAGTACGTTTCAAATCAGTGGAATTAACTAAACTAATTAAGTAAACAAGTCCTTACTTAAATTTTTATTAAAAATCGCTCAAGTTTGTAAATTTTTAAATTTGACGAACCTGTTTATTCAAATTATTGTCGACAAAAAATGCAACCATGTGCCACATTCATATGTTTTTTCTAATTGCAAATTTTTGCCGCCAAAATTTTTTCGAGCTTGAATTTGCAACTTCTCCCCAAGAACTAGTCTTTCTACTTATGATTTATTTAAATAAAACATGTGAAATTTAGTTGAAACAGTTTAGCCGTTTTTAGCCGGTTTTTTTGCCAATCTAGCCGGTTGGCCCGGAAAGTTCTGGCAACACTGTATAGGATTCAATTTAATATAATTACGCATAACAATGCCTCGAAAAAAGTGTATGGGAGTGTCAGCTGATCGCAAAAAACGTAATTGCCTTCCAATAAACCAAGATATGCAACAACGGCAGATCTATTTGCAACGAGCTAGGGAATGTATGCGGAACCAAAGGCAGAAACAACGGGCCGAACAAAGGCCAAAATTCACTCCCCAATTTAGTAGTGTTTTGGTGCCATCATATTTTCAGCGATTAAGTGAAGATGTCAGTGCAGGGAGGCGGCAAGAAAAGCTACCAAAGACGTATTGCGGTGCACGTCTCTTCCTTAAAGACGATGAGACAGAATCAAATTGTGCTGAACGCATGGAGAAGATATGCGAGTTTTGCTCAGCTAAACTTTATCCAGGCGAGGCAGCTGATAATACTGCATCCATCTGTTGCCACAAGAGCAAGGTGAGTTTACCACCAATTTCTGTCCGCAATGAGCTGAAAGCGCAATGATGACATCACAAAAAACTATTTGGAGAATATCCGTAAATTTAACAACGGTCTTGCGTTTGCTTCAGTTCAGGTGAACTTTGCCAATATTCCGGGTAGAGGACCATTTTGTTTTAAACTAGAGTAAGACGATTCTCAGATATTATTGTTTTTGTGAAAGAAACATTTAATCAAAAAGTTAATTCTGAATATGTTTTCTCCTCCAATTGTGTATACAAAGTAAGTGACACCATGTTTCCCTCAACTCATGACACTCATATATCAGTCAGTTTGTAATATGTTTTTATGTATGTACCTAATAAGTATAAGTTCGGATGTACTATAAATCTCATTAATGCTTTGTAATATATGTATAATAAAAATAAGGGGTTTATAAGAATAATTATTTCCGCGAACTATTAGAACAGTCTGCTACTATCTGTGGCTACAAAGAGGGATGAGTTCACTGTGTATTTCTGTCTGCGCAGACTGCGCATGGGCCCGCTTGTTATTAATATTTTGCAATGCATATTTATTTATTAAGTTTAATTCAATACAATCAATACGAATATTTCATGTGCCGTTTTTCACTTGAATGTGACATTAATAATATCACGTATTCTACGTTTAAGTTTAGCGGCTGTGGCTCCGACACAGCCTCCAGGACAAGACGAAGGCGCTGGACTGATCCTTGTTTTTCATTTCAAAGACTGAGATTTTCCCCACAGTGTTATTACTCAGTTCTCATACAGTGTATATAATATGCGCGAATTAACAATGAAAATTCAAAGAATCCACCCTCTTTATGCGGTTTATTTTCAGGGTTTTACATTTCCTGGCGAAGCTGGTTATCCCATAGAATCTGTTGTGGCCAAGTACTACCTAATGGAGACGCAGTACACCAATTTAAAACCGGATTTTACTCAATTGCACAGTCGACAAATGGCAGACAATTCTGGCCTGAGGATATATTTCACCCACGTGCTCCGATCTAACGACGCTGGAGTCCTGTCAATCGGTAATGTTGATAAGTAATCAGTGTTGCCGCGAATCCTTTTTAGTGGTAGCCAAATTCCTTTTAAAAAGAGCTAAAAAAATCCGTTGTAGCTAAAAATTGTAGCTAAAATTGTTTACTTACATATCGTAGTTTAAAGTATAAAACCGCGTATAGTCATTCTGAAAAACCGCGCAACTGGAATTTGCTGCCAAAAATTGGATTTACTCACACAAGCTCTTGGCTCAACCCCTATCCATTCGTCCTGAAATATACTAGCCAGAAATGCGATTGCTTTATAAAAAATTATAGTTTAAAAAACTAAAACCTCGCTATTATAATTTCCATTCGTATTGTCATCAGGTATGTAACATAGTTACATCCCGAGCTAATAAAAGGGAGGTAATAAAAAGAAAACCATTTTGAAATACGAGTGTTTTTACTCTCTAGAAAATAATTTATGCAACCTCACATACGCGGTTTTGCATTATCATCATACGCGGTTTTGCATTTTGTTGATACGCGGTTTTGTATCTACTTTAAACGACGATATATGTATATATAAAAGGGAAAATACACGACACTAGCTTGCTGGCATCATCAAGTTATTGTACCATCAGGCTCGAAGCATATAGAATATTTATTTCTTTACAAATGAGGTCCGAAAAAGACCGAAATGATTAGAGCCGAAATTTCATAATATTTCCACAAACACGGCGCTGACTCATATAGTGCCAGAAATTTTGGGTAAAATAGTTAAAAACGAGCTCATTTCTCCATTCACGACACCAGCGTGCTGGTACAATAATAAAATTTTCAAATCGTTTTTGATGTCGTAACAGCAGCCGGTACAATCACACCACAAGAACATACATGGTCAATCGGCTGGCACCAACACTTGATGGTGCCAGCATGCTAGATGCATATTAAGGGACGCGAACTTATCTATTTTAAAGTATAGTTAAATCGTTAATAGATAAGTTAATGGCCCTAACACTTTTATAGTTTGTATAAAAATGTAAGGAACATACAATACATATATACATATATAGTTATGCAGATATGTATGCATGTATTCAAGTCTAACGCAATTGATTGAATGTTGATTTGTTGAAGTTGAGTTTTGTTTTGTGCAGAATTTGCATGAAGCGAAACAGATATTTCTTTGCTGTTATTTTTCACGATCCAGAAAATAAAGGTCGCGCCATTCGCGGACCGCTAACCCTCTCTTCGTCGGTTTCACAGCATCCACCCAATCGCTGACGTCATAAAATACTGTTGTTGACATTCACTGTTGCCAACTTGATACTTTTCGCACCAAATTTAGTGGGTATTGAAAACGCAAAAATTTTTGAGTTTGGTGCTTGGTGCGTTTTTGGTGCTTTGTTTTTAGTTTGAAGACACCAAATTAGAAAGTCTTAAAAAAATGGAAGCAAAATTTATAGCAATCGTAGGTGTGGTAAGCCACTTTACAAAAATTTAAAAAAAGTCATGGCACAGTGACAATCATAAGCGACAACAAAGTATATGGCAGCATCTTCAATCTTGCCAGAAGAAATCGACCGTCGTCCGAGAAACATGGATTTTTATTAATTTGAATCGGCATCCTTACAATCAAATTATGTATGCATATAAAGTCCATAAAATACACCAATAAAAATTTGGTGCTTTTTCACATTCAAAACTTGGCAATACTGCCATTTGTTCGATGCTTCCTCTTTTTCTTGTCGAGTTCGTCTTGCTATCTCATTCTGGTATTTGTTGACGTCACGGCCAGTGGCTCCCAGCTCGATTGGTGAAATCTTGTATTCTTGGTTATTTATTCTGTATGCTACTTCAATTCGATTTTAAATAAGGTTTCGTCTGCGTAGCGGCAACTTTTTTTCACGAACTTCATCTTTATGAAATATAGGAAAAGGAGAAGATCAATGTATTTATGTATGCCACACCAAAAAGCTTACAGTGAGCATACTGTGGTGGGCATGTGCCGTTATCGCAGCAAGCAGCATTTTAAAGCAAAAAAAAACCCAAAAACAGTTGTCAAACGAAATATACGATGTACAGTAGAGTTGTAAAATTATCGATAGTTTCCATGTTTCAGAAAAAAACTATCATTACTCGTTGATAGTTTCCAGCAATACTATCGATAGTGTCAAACGCTACCATCGATAGTACTATCGATAGTCAATGTAATGTTAAAAACTGTTCCAAATTAACAGGGACGGCATCGAAAAACAAAAAAAAAACAAAATATTGAAAATATAAACACACGTAGGGCCGTTTTCTTAAGTAACTTTTAACTTTAAAATTCACTTTATGTTTAAATATTGCTTTAACATGTATAGTTCGGTCTAAGTAAAGCATTTTATTATCGAATTTTATTTCTTTATTTACATATCTATTACTGAAGCTTACAATAGGGCTATTCGCGATCCGGTGCAAATGGCCTAGCATCATTGCATTGCAAATTTGTATTGCAAATTATTTGCAATACACAAACAAAATACACGCATTTGCATTTGTCATGGCTTGGCAAATTTGCAATACCGAAAATCCATAGCATAAAAATGCTATGCATTGCATTCATAAAGAAAACCAAAGCTGATGCACAAAAATTGTTTTGCAAAAGCTTTACCATGACAGTTTAATAAAGGTCGCTCACAATCCATGGCATATTTCTGCAATTGCATAAATTTGTCAGCTCTTATGCACCGAATCGCGAATAGCCCTAATTAAAAATAAAATTATGAGCCTAGTAAAGAAAGCTTCTTCTTATGATCTACAAAACATGGCAACAAAAATGGGGAAAAAATTGTTGCGGCTAATGTTACAGCTGTTTTTGATTGACTTGTCAGTGCTGATTACGAATCCATGAGCATAAGATTTCCATCAGCTCCAGATTTAGTGAAAAACGAGGTCAAAAAATTGTTTTTTTTTGGCAATATTTAGAAGCTCTAGCAAAGAAACAAAAGGCGGCGTTTGGCTTAAATTAAAGCTAGAAGTCTCTACTGCTATCCCTGAAAATACCATCCCTACACCTTGACCTGATGGTCACATATAGTCATTTATTGAACAGCAAAACCTGATTTTGTGCGAAGTTTGAGTACCCACCGCAATTAACCCTTCGATTTGTGAGAAGGTCCCTAGGGACCTTTTCGTATTTCATGTGCCTATATCTTTTTGTTCAATGCATTTTTGAAAAGAATTTATACATATATTCCAAGAATAAATTAAGCTGAATCGTTTAAAATAAGTTTCGAAGGGATACGGGATCACGTTCGAGTGTTATTGAGATTTAAACATATATAGTACGGGGATTAGTGACAAGGTCCCTAGGGACCTTGTACAATTTTAGAAGAAATAACAAGTTACTTGTCTTCATGTTTTGATTTTTTTTTCACTTGTTCTTCAAATTATTTCATTCCTAATATATATGCAGGACGTTAATTTAATCAAAAGACAACATAAATACCAAAGAAGTTGCACATGTACAGTCGAAACATCGAGCAACTCTTTGTAGGTCCCTAAGGACCTTCTCACGAATCTAACGTCATCGGCACTGTCACTCATCGGAGGGTTAAAGGTTCTATCACCTTTTGTTTTTTTGTGCTAGACTTTCTAAAATATTGCAAAAAACGTGATTTTTTGACACTTTGACCTTGTTTTTCTCAAAATCTGGAGCTGATGGAAACGTTATGCTTACGGACTCGTAATCAGCATAAAAAAGTCTATCAAAAACAGCTTTATCATTTGACGCAACAAAATCACTGTTGCCTTGTTTAATTGTTGCTTATTATAAATTTCCAAATATGATATATTTTGTTTAAATTTCGTAATATAATTTTTTGATTTGTTTACAGCCAAAAAACATACAACAAACACCGATAATAGAAATGCTTTACTTCAGACATAGCCTTATGGTTTGAAGCAACGTTTAAATATAAAGGTTGCTTGAGAAAACGGCCTTTAAAGCAGGCCGACGCGCAGCTACATGGAGACATTATAAATAAAATCGGCTGTGCTAGAGGTTTTAAACTATCGATAGTCAACTATTACTATCGATAGTTTAACCTTTTTAGAGAAAAACTATCACTTCATCGATAGGGGCAAACAAATTAAACTATCGATACCATCGATAGTACCGTTGATAGTTTGACACCTCTAATGTACAGTGCTTGTTTGTTTTGAACGAAGCGCTGCTTGTACATATATAATTTTCACTTTGGGCGCAGCGCTGCTTGTACATAAATTTCGCTTTGCGCATGCCTGCAGCTGGCAAAGGTTCTTTTTTTATTTTGCGCTGTGCTAGCTGCAGTGTTGCCAACTTTTGATTTTCAAAAAGCACCAAAAACTTGGAAAAAACGCGTTTTACCACACTAAAAGCACTATTTTTTTTAATCAAGGGATGCTTTTTTCATAACATAATACCGAAGTACTGCACATTAAAACTGGTATATCTCGAGAAAGAAATATCGAATCGCAACAAACGAAAATGATGCCCTAATTAGAATTGAGCAAATAATTTGATGTTTTCATTATATAACCTCAACTATCGCTAAAAACCGTGGTTTTGGCACTTTGAGGTTAGGATATCTCTAAATTCTAGTGCTAGAGCAATTGTGGGCTAGATTTGGATTCAGCACCAAGGAACGATGTGTTTTACTCAGGTGGTAAAAAAAACGAAATTTGTACAAATAATTATAAAAGAAAAAAATAAGTACTTAACTTACTTGCGTACTAGCATTTTCAACGCGAATAGAATTTAACAAGGTGGGTTTGCAACTTCAGCATGGTTGTATTTTAGTCCATTTAAATTTGTTGATTCTTGTAAATTCTGTGCTGCCAGAGCTTTAAATATTTCAAATTATTTCAGGTTTTAACTATCTCGAAGCAAAAGCATTAAATCTAGTGCTTAAAGCACCAAGTTGGCAACTATGGCTAGCTGAATATAAAAAGAGAAGAGAATAGAGAGAAATATATATGTGGTTTGTTGATGCTCTCTAAACATAAACGCGTGAAAGGCA